GTGGTGGTGGTGGTGATGGTGGTGGTGGTAGTATGGCGTGGTGGGTGGTGGTGGTGGTGGTGGTATGTGACAGTGGGAGAGGGTGGTAGGTAAAGGGGAGAGGACGTCAAGAAGAAAGATAATTTTTTAAACCTGATCGTGGTAGCATTTGTACAATACTGCTTAATGTGATTGAACTATGGATTGACATGACATCTCTATTAGCTCCCAGTGAAAAGGTTTTTGGGGAAAAATATTTATTTATTTTTGATTGTTGAGCACTCAGAAGCCTTTTCCCATTTCAAACCACTTCTTGACCTCCACATTTAGTTGTGTGACTGCACAGGGAGACCCTCCATGTAAGAAGCGTTGCTAAGATAGAAGCTGGTGTAAAGGGTGGAGAATGGAAGGTGACTGGAGATGGTGAGAGGGCAGGGAGGTGAGGCCCCAAATGAGAGCCAGCCCAGGTCAGAACTCAGGCTTTCTTGGCCCTCCTTCCTAGTCTGTCTGCAGAGGGTTGGTATTTCCGCGCTAAAGAAAAGTAAGTGGCTCAGAGAAACTCACATCTGTGGAAGGAAGGAGATGTCCAGACTAGGACTGAGCGTGGAGACAAGATTGAATCCATAGACTGATTCCCTCCATCTGGCTTTGTTTCAGCAAGTGAGTGTCCTCGCCTTCTCTTTGGACAAGCCTCACTTTCTCTGAGTGCAGCAAAAGTGGTTCAGTGCTTGGCTAAAAGGTGAGCATTGCAAACCCACCTAGAGGTGCCTCAGAAGAAAGACCTGTGGTTCTGCTCTCAAACGACTGTAACAGTGGAAACCCAGTGGCGTGTAGTTCTGCTCTGTCATCCCGCACAAGGAATTGCGGTGAGTTGGAATCTGCTCTGTGGCCCCTGGTCACTTTCCTGCAGGGAGAAGGAATAATGACTCCTCAAAATTGTAGTCACTGAGTAGATGGGGAGGGGGGCGGGAAGCAATGAACACAGACTGATGTATTTATGGTGAGAGGAAGATAAAGGGCAAAGTCAGGATATCAGCGGCAGCTTTTATGAAATAAGTAGCGGGGGACCATGTTTTCTCCCACAATCTAACCGAAGTAAGAGAAACTAGACATTCAGAAGAACATTCTAAGTTGGTTAGCGAGGATTACACCAAGGCCAGGGTCATTTTCCCTGCTGGTTCAAGATAAAACAAGACAATACCTGTTTGGAGCTGGGGCATTGACTGAGTTGGCTCTCAGGGATTCTCCCTGGTCTGATGCTTTCAAAGAAGGTTTTGGCAATGGTGGGACTTTCTAGCTGCTGTAGGAGGACAGACTGTCATGGCTTCTGTTGGGGCCGGCCTCTCCTTCCAGTCTCTGACAGAGCGCTCACATTACTAGCTTAGGTGTGTTGTGGCTAGAGCCTTGGTCAATTGTTAGTGTGTTTGGTAAGGGTCACTGCTTACTCTTGGTGTGTGTCTCATGGGGAAGCACATCTGCTGGTATGGCTGGTTTCTTAGTGAGGGCTTTGATGGATGCACAAGGCTTAGCGCCAGAGCTGTTGAGAATTACCTGAGCCTGGATGGCTGGTTGGAAGCTCCAGCTTCCAGCTGATCCTTTCAGGGCTTCCCCTGGAGATGAGATCCAAGGATAGATCCAGGCCTGCTCAATGCAGGATAGCCATACTGGTGCACCGAGATTGATAGGTGGTAGTGAGGAGTAAGTAGGTTGGGCTCTCTGGAGCCTAGAAAGAGAAGGAATCACCTGGGTGAGATTGGAAGCTCCAGCTTCCAGCTGATCCTTTCAGGGCTTCCCCTGGAGATGAGATCCAAGGATAGATCCAGGCCTGCTCAATGCAGGATAGCCATACTGGTGCACCGAGATTGATAGGTGGTAGTGAGGAGTAAGTAGGTTGGGCTCTCTGGAGCCTAGAAAGAGAAGGAATCACCTGGGTGAGATATGAACGTGTTACGCACATATGCCTCAGACCCTGAGCTGGAGGGAGCGTGGGTGTCCGTCTTTCCCAGGAGATAAGCAGGGTGGTGGTGGGGCGGGGGCGGAGGATGGGATGCAGAACTGTTTCACATCCTTGGCTGAGAGAACCTCTGCACCGAGCCAGAGCTCTACCTTCCCTCCCCACACCCACTCCCTTGGCTCCTCTGCTTGCCAGGAGGCCTAGGGAGGAAGCTTGCTTGAGCAGGAAAAGCTCTTTTTTTTTTAACAGTTGTTGGAACTTCACATGTCATGCAATTCAATAATTCAATCATATCAAAGAGTTGTACAATTATTCCCACAATCAATTCTGGAACTTTTTTTCTTCTTTGTACTTAATGTTATTCATGTAATTTTTTTTCATTGTGACAAAAATATACACAACAAAATATCCTCCAATTCAACAACTTCCACATGTATAATTCAGTGCCACTGGCTATATTCTTTGTGTTGTACAATCATTATTGATATCCATTTCTGAATTACTCCACCACCATTAACATAAGCACAGTGCCCCTAAGCAACAACTCTTCCTCCTTCACCCGTAGTAACCATTGGTCACTTTGGTTTCTTTTTTATTGTTTTGTCATAATGCGTTCGCCAAAGTAAACCAAAGTTGTTCATAGCCCATAAATGAGCAAATGGATTCTGGGCTTCCACCTAATTCTAGCCCCAACCCAAGAAGTTAGTTCTTATAACACAGCCCTGCTCACTACTCACCTTTGTGAAGAGATCACTGTGGATAAAGGTGCTACTACAAAGTGTGGTGAAGAGAGCAAATGGTGCCCAGCAATCTACTGGAATAGTGTCTGGGGTCTTAAAGGCTTGTATTCAAACAAGCAACCATCTAAGTGAGCCATCAACTAAGTCCACATGGAAGAAGCACACCAGCTTGTGTGATCCAAAGATGATTGATAACAAAATCCAAATATGCTGAAGGGAAAGCAGCACAGCTTAAATTGTGAACACTCAATTTGTAGACGTCTATGGAGAACAGTGAGAGCCCCAAATCCATCTCTAGATTAAGCCTCTGGCAGATCCCTCTAGGGACAGGAAGGACTTGAGTAGCTTCACTATCAGCCCGAGATTATTCTAAACTTGATGATGGTGGGTTGAACCATGGTATGATACTTGGTCAGTGACCTCCCCCTTGACCTAACCCGAATTTGCTCAGGGCTCCAGTATTTCTCACTTGTTCCATGACAGAAATTTCTTCTCTGGCCGTTTAACTATTGATGGTGGTCTTTTCTTTCTGACTCTTTATTTTTATTATTTTCTTCTTGCTGTTTCATTTTGTTTTGCTTCATTGTTTCTGTTGGTTTTCCAAGTTTGTGAAGCTCAGAAGGGGTAGATGCATAGAGAAAATAACTGATGCAATGGTTTATCAGGGGCATTGGGGGTGTGGGGAGGGTGAGAGGATTTGGGGAACATACAATGCTGGAGTGGGGAGAGAGCTATAGAACTGATTGTGGTAATGTATGTACGTACAGCTCTTTTAAAAAGCGATTTAACTATGGAAGTGTATGGTATATGAATACTATATAAAGAAAACTACTTAAAAACAAAAAAACAAACAGCTTCTTTAAGTCCTGACTTACAGTGGCCTCTACAATGGGGAAACCATCTCTCTCAAGCTGCCAGACACACAGTTAACTTCACTGCTTCAGTTTCCTCATCAACCCCGTGCCAGTCCTCCAGCCTGTGTGTTGGCAACCTTCTGAGCTGGAGATTTTCCTTTTCCTTAAGCAACACCAGCATGTAAGGAAGGACACAGAGTGTTCTACCCCTTCCCCGACCCTCCCCTCTAAGGGGGTTGGCTGGGCCCAGCCGTATGCCAGCCTCAGAGATAGCAGGATAATTAAGACCCAGGCTCCACCTTGGGCCAAGCAGGAAGGGAGACATGCAAACAATTTCTAGGACGAGGCAAAATCCCCAAGCCATTTGGCATCTTCCCGCTTCTTCCATGGAGGCCTGGAGTGTCTCAGAAAGCCCCTGATTTATAAAAAGAAGCTGGCCTTCCTCTTGAGTCACACCCTTTCACTTTCATTTCTCTGGGTGCAACACCCTGGACCCCTGGGAGATTTGGTCTACTACCCAGGGCTTAAAGCTCCTGAAGATCACTTCCCTCTCAAAGTCCCATGATCCAGAGGCTGGGCTGAGCTGAGAGCAAGTCTCTGCCAATAGCAGGGCAGGAGCCATGTGTCTTGTGTGGTGGTGAGTGAGAGGAGGGAGGTCCTGGGTTACAACTATGGATTGTTCTCTACTACTAACCCAAAGGTTGTTGGTTCAAACTCACCCAGCTGTGCCACAGAAGAAAATGCCTGGCCATGTGCTTCCATAGATTACAGACATTGAAAATCTTAAGGAACTTTGCTTTATACTTTAATACATGGGATCCCCATGACTTGGAATTGACTCAAAATTAATATTATGGGTTATTTTCTTTGCACCTAACTCAGAGTGATCGGGAGGGTTATGTTAATTACCACAGGAAAGCACTTAGAATGATGCCCAGCATGTGGTATTTACTTAGTGGAGGGAATTGCTGTGACTTGAATCAGACTAAAGTGGAGCCGCTCTTACCCTGCATCAAAGAGAATCAATTCCCTGAGCCCTTGGGAGATACTGCTGCACTAGCACAAGGATGCCTTTTTAAACTATTCAAGCTGTGGATCAAGCACAAATAGGACTAGGGGGGTTCTTAATTTAATTCCTGACTACTTCAAACTCTATGGGGTTTGACCTAATCTCTGGCCCTCTCGGGACCACAGTTTGCACATTGTACAGTAATAGAAGGGTGAATTGGATGGTGTCTGAAGGTGGACCCTGCCTGGTTTTGAAAGAGGCTGGACATTACCTGGTCTGAGGCTCCACCCTGCCTAGATCTGAAGAAGTCCTGTGTTGACTGTACTTTTCTCCTCAGGTTGTGAAATGTGTACCCAGGAGGGTTTCCAGGCACGGAGGAGCCAGCTGGTGAGCATGCTGGTCTCGGGATCCCTGGAGTGCTTCGAGTGCATCCTGGACTGGCTACTCTCCTGGGAAGTCCTCTCCTGGGAGGACTATGAGAGTCTCAGCCTTCTGGGAAAGCCCCTCTCCCACTTGGCCAGACACCTCTTGGACACAGTGTGGAATAAGGGACATTGGAGTTGTGAGAAGCTCATTGCGGCTGTTCAAGAGACCAAAAATGATAACCATTCCTTTGAGTTGAATGGACTCTGGGACCCACAATCACCTTGCCCAGTCCGTGATCTACAGACCCACCGGCCAATTATCGTCAGGAGACTCTACAGTCACGTGGAAAGTGTCCTGGACCGCGTGCAGGAGCAGGGCTTCATCAGCCAGTATGAATGTGATGGGATCAGGCTGCCAATCTTCACATCATCCCAGAGGGTAAGGCTGATTCATGAGGGTTACAAAGAATTAACAGGAGAAGGGTCTTAGTCACCCAGACTAATAAGTCTTAAGGTGTCAGCGCTATTGGATAACAGGAGCCAGAGATTTCCCCTGAAAAAGTAGAGAGGCAGATTGGAGTTTATGGACAGCACACCCCTTTCTTTGCGAGGTGTTGTGGAGTGATTCAGGAACCAGAATGATGGGAGTTTGTAGGACGCTGCATAATCTTTCTATCCTTAATCTCTCCTGCCTCATTTTCCACGTTTATACAATAACAAATAGAGACATATAGCACCCAGTCTGTAAGATTCTTGGGAATGCTCTCTGAGCCAGTCCTGTCAGGAATAGGACTGGAGTTCTTATTTGAGCTGCCATCGCGTTGACTCCAGTTCATGGTGATCCTAAGCACACAGAATGAAATGCTGCCTGGTCCTGCACCATCCTCACAGTCCTGGTATTTTTGAGCTCATAATTGTATCTATTACATCGATCCATTTTACAAAGGATCTTGTAGACTTATGTTGGTCTCTCTTCACCAAACTTGATGTCCTTCTCCAATAATTAATTCCTCCTGGTGACAGATACAAAGCAAACAAGTTAGTTGGCTAATGTTTTATTGTGATCAATAAGGTTTTCTTTCATTGACTGATTTTTGGAAATAGATTTGTAAAGTCTTTCCTAGTCTATCTAATCTAGATATTCCATTGGAATCTTTCACCATGTGTAACTCTAGGAGTATCTAAATCTGGGTAGAATAGCTTTCAGCATCACAGGTACTTGCAAGTTATCACAATACAACAAACTGACAGATGGTTGGTAGGACATATAATTGCTTTTGTGTGCCATCAAGCCAGTCTGTCTCATAATAACTGTCTTAGGATGGGTTCTCTGGAGAAACAAAATGAGTGAGGCTTATCTGTGCGTGTGTGAATTTATATAAAGAAAATTACTCACACTATGGTAGAAGCAAGTAAATTCCAAGACTAGGCAAGTTCTAGTCAGATGTTGGGTTGGAGGCTTTGCCTGACTTACATAGCTGTGGAATTTGATGAATCCAAATCTGCAGGATCTTTGGATTACAGGCTTGTGGCCACAGAGGCAAATAAACCCAAGGTCATCAGGTCAGATAGCAGGCACTGATGACTGATTGACAGGCAATATGGCAGGTCACTGAATCAAGTCCAAAGAACTGGAGATTAATAAGCTAGATGCAGGGTCCAGACCCAATAAAAAGTAAGCAAGCTTTTCCACAGCCTTCACTTATATTGGAAGCAGATACACATCAAAAGTAACTTACTTTCATTGAACTCATTAGAGGGCTATGATATGAGTAAGAGTGTTGCATCAGTCTACTCATCTAACTGACTGCCTGCTCAGAGCAGATTCTTTACGGGAGTGATTACATTGTGTTAGATCACATCATTGTGAATCATTAGGTCTTAACTGCCAATCTTCTGACAATATGACTCAGCCAAGTTGATGCAAAACAACTATCACAGAGACCCTATAGGACAGAGTAGAAAGTGCCTTATAGGGTTGTTTTTTTTAGCTGTAATATTGACGTTAGTAGATTGACAGGTCTTTCCCTTGCAAAGCTGCTGGGGGGCTTTTGGCTAGAAGGCAAGGGTTTATGGTTCAGGGCACATAACAGGTATTCATTAGAGTGGCTGCTATTATTTCTGTTATGAGTGACATTCTATACTTGTGCATTCTTATTTCTGCCTGTTCTAAATTAGCCACTCAAAGAATTATCTCCTTTCATTATGTTAAATCAGGCATCCTCAAACTACGGCCTGTGGGCCACATGTGGCCCGCCAGTAACATTTATCCGGCCCGCCAGGTGTTTTTGCCCCATTTGGTTTTTTTTACTTCTAAGTAAGATATGTGCGGTGTGCATAGGAATTGGTTCATAGGTTTTTTTTTTAAACTATAGTCCGACCCTCCGCCGGGTCTGAGGGACAGTGAACTGGCCGCCTGTTTAAAAAGTTTGAGGACCCCTGTGTTAAATCAATATTTTATAATGAATAGGACATACAATGTACTTATATAGCTTAAATGTTGACATGGGGTTTCTGGTGTGAAATTTATCAGCGCTTGACATTCAGTGTTGGGATAAAACCACCCTTGAAAATACAGTAACACAACAGAACACAGGAGCAGAGAAGTGTCAGTGGGATGCCACCTTTTTTTAACTTATTGTGAGTTAAGTGAAGATTTACAGAGCCGATCATGGTTTCACATTAAACAATTCATACACCTTCTGATTCAGCTCATGCATTGCAATACCCTCCTTGTACCATCACTTATTCCACTTCCTCCTTATGTTTCCTGTTTCGATGTCTCCCTATTTCTTAATCCTCTGAACTTCGCCCTTGGGTAAAGACGGTCCTTTTGGTCTTAAAGGCTTGATTATTCTAATTCTAGTTTCAGACTGGAAGGGTAACAGCCATGCTCTTGAAGGCCGGGCTTGGAGTGGTTCCTACCAGCCCCTATCATACCCGTAAGTGTGGTCTTTTTGCCGATTTTAAATTCTGTTCCACATTCTTCTCCCACTACATCCAGGACCTGCTAACGTGATCTGTTTAAGAGCAGTTGGCAGCCGGGTAATATCTCATTTTCTGGCCTCGGGGTAGTGAAGACACCTGAATGCATGGTCCAGTATTAATCTGTTGGACTGTTTCCACGTGCCTTTTCATTGTCCTCATTCTTCTTTCCTCTGGATGGAGGGGACGACCAGGAGCCGCTCTGTAGGTGCTCACTTAGACGCTTTTACGACCCCTGTCGCTACTCATGAAATGAGGATGCAGAGCAGACTCTGGTGTTGGATGCTTTCAGACTCTTGGTTTTATGTATTTTCATCCAAACACATTTTACATCGGTGTCTCTCAGGCCTCTTGTGATTCAGATAAAACAGGAATTAACATTCCCTTTACAGGAAATGGAGGCCCAGAGAAATGGTTGGGTAAGGTCCCAGTAGTTAGAGGGAGGGCTGGCGCTAGATCTTGAGCCATGACTCATTCATTATTGATTCATTCGAGAAGAGTCTTTTGACTCTATAACACCAGGCTCCTTCTTAAAACTTTTTGTGGTATGTGTTCAGAGTGCCTTGCACAAAGTATACAATAAATAGTTGTAGATTGAGTACATTCGTTCTTGACTGAATAAATTAATGAATTGGAATGAGAGTGCAATGGTAATATGGGTTGAATTGGATTACTTCCTTTTTTTGGTCTAATTTCTAAAAATACATTAGATGTTCCAGCAAGTCTAGATAATATTAGATTAAAACTGGTAGGATAACTCAATCTATCTCCCAGGCTGTCTTAAACCTGGATCAAGGTAGTTGATTAGATAGAGGATGATCCCTGTTAATTGTTGTTGTTAAGTGTTGTTACATGTTAAGTGTTAAGTGCCATCATCAAGACTTTCAACTCACATGTACTTCATACGACAGAATAGATCTGCATCATAGGACTTTTATAAATTATAACTGTTATGGAACAGATTTCCAGTCTTCTTCCTGTGGAGCCTTTGGGTGTGTTCAAATTGCCAACTTTTCATTTATAACCTCTGTGCCATTAGGGTGATAGTGGAAATAGTGGACATGAAACTTAACATTAAAGCTTGACTACCACTTCCTCAAGCCTGGCTCTGAGAGGATGACAGGAGAGGTGTTAGTAAGGGTCCCTACTTTGCTGTCTTTGGATCTATTGCAGGCATGGAACGGGGAAGTTACAGCATTTTGGCTAGTGATCAAGTGCGCAGCTGCGTGATCTGGTCATAATAAAGGTAGCATATATCTCTGGGGCACGAGGGAATCAGGGAATCAATAGAGTAAGCATTTAAATAGATGAGAGAAAAAATGAGATAAACAAAATTTTGAAACCAAGGATTTCTTTTTCCTTGGATACATAATCATTGCTCATGGAAGCATTAGTAAGTCAAACAATGTATTGCATTGGGAGAATCTGCTTCAAAATCATTCTGTCATTAAAAACACCAAAATGTCACTTTGAGGACTAAGGTTATCCAATCAAAGCCCAGGTATTTTCATTATCCTCATAGTCATGTGAAAGGTAGAACAATGTAAGTAATATTTCTGAGTTAAGATGTATGTGAAGATATTGAATATACCATGAATTTCCAGAAGAATGGACAAATCTGTCTTGGAAAATATACAGTCAGACTGTTTCGTAGTGAGAATTCTTCATTTCACATACCTTGAACATGTTATTAGGAGGGTCTAGCCCTCCTAATATTACAGGTGGTCAAGTAGACTAACAGAGAAAAAGAGGAAAAGCCTCAACAAGGTAGATTGACACAGGGGCTGCAGCAATTAACTAAGAACCTAGCAATACTTGAGCTATGGTGCAGGATTTGGTGGTGTTTCAATCTGTTGCATGAGTTGTATTTGTTGTTACTGACTGGACATCACCAAATAACAAACAATGAAGAAATAATTATAGTAATCCTAATGATTTCTTAATTATTCAAATTAATCATTAACGAGGAACCTTGGTGATACAGTAGATAAAAGTGTAGACAAGATAAATTCATAACTGAAAAGTTGGTACTTTGAACAACACACCAGTGACCTCTTACTTCTGTGTATATATAGCCCTGTAAATCCTATGGAGCTGGTATACTATAAGTCAGAATGGACGTGATGACAACAGGTAAACAATAATGATAATATAATCTATCAAAATGTATGGGATGCAGCTACAGCAGTTTGTAGAGGGAAATTTATAGCCTTAAATAATTATATTAGAAGAAAGACCAGATTTTAAACAACGTGGACTCTAACGTCAGAAAAGTCTAGGTAGATGGTAGAAGCAGAGACTGGGACTGAGCTGAGAATAGAAAGGATGAAGAACAAGAAATGTGAGGATTGTAGGGGCTGATCTTTCCAGAGGAAGCCCTGGTGGTGTGGTGGGTGCTTAGCTGCTAACCGAAAGGTCAGTGATTGGAAATCACCAGGAAAAAGATGTGTCAAT